TCGAACGCCGCAGTTGATACGTTCGGAAGAAGAAATTAGAAATTAGAAAGGTGAGATGCGAGAGTTCTTCCAGCCAAAATATATTTTTTGTTTTTTAATTAATGTAATAATGAGGTGGAAAATATAAAAGATTATTTTTTTATTTTTAATAATTTTTTAATTGCCACGTCACATATTTAACGGTCAACTATGAAAGTTGACTGCCACGTAAGCTAGAGTTAACGGAAATGGACGGAGAGTGACCAAACTTGAACCATTTAAATAATTTGAGTGACCAAGATTGGATTTAAATATTTCAAGTGACCAAACGTGAACGTTTTTTGTAATCTCAGTGACCAATCATGCAATTAACCCATTTTTTATGATGTCACAAATGAGGCTGCTGACTGGACCGTTAACTTACTGATATGTCAATTTAAAACAAAATAAAAAATAACCCTGAACTCTGTCTCATCCTCCTCCTCCAATCGAACCTCTCTGGCTAGGGTTTCACAATCCGCTTCCGCTATTAATTAAAGGCCCTAATACAAGCTTTGCCGCCTCCTCAACTCAAACCATCATCGCCCTCCCTCTGCTTCTTCAATTCCGCAAGTTCCCTTCTCCCTCCTCACAAAACCTAATACGAACTCCGTTGGAGTTGGTGGTGGTGGTGGTGATGAGTATTAAAAGTATTTAAAGATTTAACAGTACTCACCTCTACTTCTTCAATTTCGCAAGTTCCCTTCTTTAATTCTTTTTTATAATGTATATAATTCCTTCATCCATAATCAGTACTCACTTCTTCTGTTAACAAGACAATCGACGATCCATGATTCAAAGTTTGATGGCCTGTTTCAGATTGAGGATGATAGTTGGCGAGGACGGCGATTGGCTCTACAACACCAATGCCCTGCCGCTAGCCATGAATTGCAGAGGTTTTCTTGTTCTGCTATGTTCATTCTCTTTCTCGCACCACCGTGCGTCTAGCAGTTCACTGCCAATGCCTTCGTGCGTCCAGGCTTTGCCTCCATCCATGCAATACTTTCGTGGTTTCCGACTAACTTTTTGCAGGGACTTCAGAGTGGTTGTAGACTATTGGACAATGTCTTTCCGACCAAAAGGGAGGCTTTCCGCCTGACGGCGAGACTACTGAATCATTAGCCTTGAGTAGCGGTGTCTTTTTTGGGTGTGATCCTTTCGGTGTAATTCTGTTCGTAATGGGTAAGTTTCATGTAGGCATTCATGATTCTTTTTTGTAGAATTATTGGCGGGCAGGGTTGCCTTGGATTGGTGCCTCACACATGGTTTTCTTTTGCTCAAATTGCATGGGAATTCACACCTGGTTCTCCGGCGACTCTTGGCGGGAGGTTCTGATCATGTGACGGGTGATGTGATCCTGGAAGTTATTCATCGTTTGTCCGGATCCTTTGAGTTTTGTTCTTGCTCCCATGTTACTCGTCGAGTTAATAGAGCAGCCCATTTTGTAGCAAAAAACGCTCTCTCATCGGAAGTTCGACGATTAGTCGACTTCCGCCCGTGGATTTGTTCTGTTCTTTGACTATGTATCCGAGCTTTCGTTTGGTTTTGATTATGTTAAAAAAAAACAAAGAAATATATGTCAAAGTGTATTTAAAGATTTAACAGTAGAGATGTTAAGTGAAGAAGTACACCATAGACCTGGCGGCCCATTTCAAGTTCGATAAGTTGTATTTGACTACAATTAATAAAAAAAAAAAATTATTTTCCCCATATTTTGAATTATTATACAAATTACGTACTCAATTTGATATTATTTAGATAGTAGGGTTAGTCAACTATTGATAGTCAAAGTAAGTGAACTATTTTATTTTAGCTACAGAAGCACATCCTGGCTTAGACAATGAAGTACGAAAATAGACACACTAGTGATGCATAGTCATAACTCAAAACCAAAATATTAAGTAAGAACTCTGTATTATGCTTGCACTAAACATATCAAGGATGATGTATCTCTAAAGTCTAATCCCAAATTTACCTCCATTCCTCATACTAATAATTAACTAACCACCACACACACAACAACGCCGAACTATTTATTCATTTTTCTTTCTGGACAAATTATGTTTCCAAACAATGTCGGGGAAACAAACAAAAAGTAGAAAACAACAATTACTACACAAATCTTTTAATACGATATGTTTTATCGTCTTCAGTTTTGGATCCCCCAATTAATCCATAACAACAATCTACTCCCCTGTTTTCTTCTTCTTCTTCTCTTCCTCGTCCTTGTTCTGAATCCTGCCGTCGGTCCCGGCCATCATCGCATACTTATCCTTCCTAGTCAGACTGGTACACTCAAACCCCAACGTCCCACCCAACACCTTCTGTATATAATTCGCCACCTCGATCGCCGACTTCCCTCCTCCCTTACACGTCAGCTCCGTCGGCAGCTGGTTCAAGAACGTGATCTCGTAGGTGGGCATCGGGTTCATGAACACAAAATACGGGTCGAGCAGCTTGTACCCACGCACCGTCGTCCCGTAGAACACGGACTGCTTGGTGTTCACCGCCACGGGGACGATCCGGTCGGTGAGCTCGGCGAAGAGGGCGCTGAACCGCAGCAGAAACGGCTCCCTGCAGGTGGTCCCCTCGGGGCAGATCACCAGGTCGCCTTCCTCCAGCAGGCGCTTGATGTCCGCCGCGTCCCTCTCACGCTCCCTCGACAGCGCCACGGCCTTGATGGGGGATATGATCTCCGTGAACTTGCTGATGCTGTAGGTGACGCAGCTGATCTTCCGGCCGAGCGCGACGGCGGTGACGACCGGGTCGAGGACGGTGCGGTGGTTGCAGACGAAGAGGACACCCGGCTGGCCCTTTCTCGGCGGCGGCGGCGGGGTGCCTTTGACCACGACTCTGATCCCGAGGAACATGTAGTTGTATCGGGCCAGGCGTTCGGGTAATGGGATGTTGGTGTAGACCCGGAGGATGGAGAGGAGGACTCCGATTGGGAACCAGAGGAAGGTTAGGAGCGCGATCAGCGGAGTGGGCCTTTGGACCAGTCGGCCCTCGTGGAATATGATTGGGCTTAGCAGCTTGTTCCGCGGCAGCGGCTCGGTTCGGGTCCGCGGGACCATGTACCCTTCCTGCGAAAAGAAAAATGGAAATTATTAACAGGTGATCAGAATTAATTAATTAATTAATTGTTAGAACTTAAAATGAGTAAAAAAAAAAAGAGAGAGGAAGAATCGATAATTTGGATGTTTAGATTAAGGGGTGTGGAGGAGAGGAGCCCCACTATACAGAAAAAGAGGCACATTTAAGTGCTGCCCGGGCTAAGAAAACGACTTGACGTTTCCGATTTAATTATTTGTGGCAAATAGGATCTTGCCATGCTGGGAAATTAACCAAAACTTGTGGGGTACAATTGTTTGGGCCACCGGTGCATTCAATACATGTACGTAAAAAAATAATAACAAAGTTATTATCATGCCGAACCAGTGGCTAGTTTTATTTAGAATTAATATTTCCTTTCCATTTTGACTATATATATAAAAAAGTGAAATCTAAACATGTGATTGTCGCTGACCTCAAAGTAATAAAAAAAGAAAAATCAATGAATATTAGGCGTGTGATGTTATGTTATAGCTTTTTTAGGTGTTTAGACGGAAAGGATATGCGTACTAGAATAGAACATGGCTGGTTGCATGATGCATTTTCGTGTCACCAATTGGAACTAACCCTACCTAAGTAGTTTTGACATGAAGGATGCATTTTCCCAGCATTCCCAAACGGTGTGACGAATTTAAATTCCAGAAGATGAACGGCCACACCAATAATTGGTTTATATATATCTAACAGCAAAATAATAATTAAATAATTAATTAAACACTAGAAGAGGAAGAAGAAGGTGAAGAAGGGTAGTTGGAATGCCGTGTAGGTGTAGTAGACCAAAACGAGACACAAAGTTAAAGAAGAAAAACAGGAAACACATGCGATGCCAGTGGTCCACTCCATTTGATCGCGAAAGCCACAATTTATTGACTCACCTATACAGACTTGATCAAATTCAATGCCGCAAACCATAGAGAGAGAGAGAGAGAGGACCATTTACTCATTCCATGAAATTAATCGAGGCAGAAATAGTTTCCAGAAATGTATACCGACCTGCACTAGCCTAGAATCTAGCTGGTGGCGATCAGATTCAGATCACAGCATTGTTGAATTATCTTTTTCGTAGTAGTCGTTGGATTAAACTCGACGTTTTCATTAAACAATTCCGCCACATCGACTAATGCAATTCAGAAAGCTAAATATACGTGTGCATAGTATATGTGTTGATTGATTTATATAAATTCGGGCCAGCTAACCCAATCCTCCCCTTACCAACCAACATTTAATACGATGGAAGGCGCAATTCGACGGTTGCAAATTTGCAATAATATATTGTATTGTAAAATGTAAATGGAGCTACGCAACAAAAACGTACCAAGCCCAACAGTCCTTATACCAATCCAAAACGAGCGGCTATCTTTTGTAACTTGCACGAATCGAAACTGTAAGTAAGTAAATGTATAAGTCACAATTATTACCTTGCAGAGGGACATGAAGTCGTGATCGGTGTCCCGATCCCCAAGCCCCAAATCGGGCAAGTCCTCCACCCTCGACCCCAACTCCTTGATCAGCGCGTCCCTCTTGTGCACGCCGACGAGGATCCCGGGGCCTTTCACGAACCCGGTGGCCCGACCCGACTTGGTCACCTCCAGCTCGGTGCCGAGCACCTTGTCCGCCCCGAGGAACGTCCTCACGAAGGGCTCCACCATCACCCGCGGGTTCGCCGTCACGATGTACCTTTTCCCGAACGAGTTGAACACCCGCCACGTGTCCGGGTGGACGTCGTCGGCGTAGAAGCGCGGGAGCACGGACCGGGCCACCAGCTCGATGTCGCGGATCTTGAGCCCCGCGAGGGCGATGAACACGAAGGACTTGACGGCCAGGGCCTCCGAGACGAGGAGGTACGTGGCGTAGATGAAGGGGCAGGAGGCGAGGAGGAGCACGGCGCGGAGGAGGCTGCCGGCTTCCAGGGCCACCAGGAGGAAGTAAGGGAAGGAGCTGGTGGAGACGAGGAGGGTCCCGTCCAGGTCGGCCGCCACGGTCTGGTTCGACCGCCCTTCCGTCGGGCACTTCGAGACCGGCTCGAAACGGCGCCGCGTTGCCATGACCATTTAATTTTGCTCTCTGTGTGTGGGGAGGGATGGAGGGTGAATGAGTTAGCGAGTGAGTTTGAAGAGGAGAAAATGGAAGGGCTTTTATAAATGGGGTTGGGGTTGGAGGGGAGGGGTAAGAAGAAGATGCATGGTGGTGATGGTGATATATTCTGCTGAGCGATAACAAGCAAAGCAAGCAATATGAGATTTTGGGGGGGAATAACATTTATTGATAAAAAATAAATATAATTGACATAATGACGATAATAAATTGTACGGTTTATGGTTAGGAAAATGGTATCTGCCTGTTTGTTTTTGTGTGTGAGTGTGTCTATTATTCAGCTGGCCAGCTATATAGTTACTTTCCCACTTTTTCCTCTTCTGTTTATTTAATTTTGCTTTCCGGAGTTCGTTGATGGCATTTATTAATCAACTCCTTTCAGCAGCTGAATTAGTCAGCATCTTTGCTCGAATTGTCCTCTTCGACTCCACCCTCACCCATATGCTGATTTTGTGGTTTGGGGGGTCTCATTTATTCGGATTTTTTCCCCCTAAATATATACGAGGGTTGAAAAAGAAAAAAATCTACGTACTTTGCAAAATATTTCTCAAATTATTAGAGTTTGAGGTTGTTCGTTGGACAGTAAAGCGAACTACACAATGGTTCACGAGAAAGGAGACCAAACAGTGTTGTTCACTAACCTATGCAGCGACCTCACACTAGTTCGCTGTCGAGTTTAGCGAACTATAGTGGCTCGCTGCCAACAAAGGCGAACAAGTTGGTTCGCTGGCAAAAGAAGTGAACAATGTATGTGATGTGCTGCCTAGAAAAACAATCTGTAGTGGTTTGCTTGCAAGTGGAGCAAACAACGTCCAATAATTTTGTGCAGTCTCATTCCCCCGATATTTTTTAGGATAGGGTGCAGGGATATGTCAATGGGAGTGAGTCGTTGGGGTGGGTAGTGAACTACCCCTTAGTTGGTAGAAAATAAGTACTCAGCCCCCTTTCATTCATGTCTTTAAGACACAAACAACAAAAAAGCATAAAGAGCACGAAATTTTAGCAAAAAAGAAGGAGGTTCATTGAGATTCTGCCATTTTGAGGTATGTTTTGTTAAGTTGGTTGTAACATGGATTACATTAACCTTTGAATGTAGGTTGAATTTGAAGTAGGGGTTTAGATTAATGTTTGGTTGTTATAATTAGATTTAGTTTTGTTTGTTGTTATATTTAAGGTATGTTCTATTGGTTCATTGAGTTTCTTCCATTTTAAGGTATGTTTTGTTTTGTTGGTTGTAGCATGGGTTACATTAACCTTGGAATGTAAGTTCAATGTGGATTGGGATTTTGGATTAATGTTTGGTTGTTATATTTATATTTAGGCTTTGAATTGTATGTAATTTATGCTACTGTATAAATTGCAGAAATGGGAATGAATTTTTGAAAGTTCGACCTATTGATTCGGTGGAAGGGTTGAGTGACAAGATTTCAAAAAGGTGTTAGAGCGTGAAGATGGTCAGGCAATCATCATTCTAATTGAGAGTAGATTTGGTTGACATGATCTATTTCATATTTGTGAGGAATGGTGTTGCACATAGGGATGGCAATGGGGCGGGTTTGGGGGCGGATTTGCCTAAACCATCCTCATACCCGCTATCAAATATCTATACCCATACCCGCCCCATATCCATGCGGGGGAAGGTTTTGCAAACCCATCCCCATACCCGTGGATTTCGGGTACCCATGGGTAATACCCGTCCCGTACATCCGACATTATAATATCTAAAATTTTAAATGTACTTTCTCAATTATAACATTAAACGCACCTACTATCATGAAGTTGACAAAAAGACTATCATTCTTTATACGATTCAAAGCATCTTATCCTAAACAATCCATTAATCCATAAGATAGAGTACAATATAATGTAATACAAATCATTCTTCTCTGACTCTGATACATCTACTAACTAATAACAAACTAACATAATCTAGTAAACACGAGGGGAAAAGTGAAAGAGTGAAGGGAGAGTTGACGAAAAGGAATTATGTTTTGATTTGGGTGGTCACTCAATTGCATTTCTAATATTTATTTTCTTGAGGTACCCTCACTATCATTCATATATCACAATTTTATTCATATATTTATTATATGTGAAGAAATGTTCTTAGTGGGGCGGGTATGGGTATGGGGCGGGGGAGGCTAAAACCATACCCGCCCCATACCCATCAAATGTTTTGCGGGTTTTACCCATACCCGCCCCATACCCAGTCAATGCGGGGATTCCCCGCGTTGACTGGGTCGGGGGCGGTCGGATACCCGCGGCCATGGGTTTGATTGCCATCCCTAGTTGCACATGTTGTAGAAGAGTATGGAAGATGACATACCAAATCCCAATATACAACTGTTATGCAATGGTGTATGAACATTGAATCATGTTTGACGATGATAAAATTAATATGATGCTGAAGTTCATAGCGGAGAACAAATTTTGAGTTGTCGATGTGTACATTGAGACAAAGAGGTGGGCAAGTATGGTGGTGGTGGTTATGCTGAATACAATGAATCTTCAGGTAGAGTTTATTGTTCCGGTGGTTATGGATTTTTGAATGGTGTACCGTGGCCAAGATATCCGATTTTTTGCCCCTCTCGCGTCCCTCACCCTTTTCTCGTGTCCGCACTACAGTTCCACTTGTGTTTCCAGGTGTGTTTCTTATTATTTACTCTTTTTCTGGAGAATCGAACTGTAGACTGTAGGACCGAGAACTGTGTTTGCATGCCTGAACTAGAGTAGGGTGGGGGATGCCTTGAGCTTGCATGGTTTTATCTGTGGGGTATGTGCTGCCCTGTCGTGAATGTGATTGGTTCTGTGCTTCTTGCTTGATTCCGGTTGAGTCGCTTGTGATGAACCCATGCTGTTGGTCCTGACCAGTTTTCTTGGCTCCACCTATGGTGTTTTGATTTTGCAGGAACATGTCGCAGGACCATCCCTTCGTGCAGGGTCTGCACCTGCACGGAGAGTACGCGGATCAGTTCCGCAAGGTGATCCGGGGAAAACTGGAGCGCCACTACCACCTCGAGTGAGCGGTGTTCGAGCAGCTCCACTGTCTGCAGGAGCTCAGCGCCGCCATCAGTCACCGCGATTGGCGGACGTTGCTGACCATCGACGAGCCCACCTACACGGAGCTGGTGTGGGAGTTCTACACCACCTTTCACTATGACCGCACGATGGCCCGGGACGAATATGCGGTGACATTCCGGATGGGTGGCCACCACAGGGAGTTGACCATCGACGGGTTGGCCCACGCTCTGGGGATCGATTACCACCCGTTCGATGCCCATGAGATCGAGGTCGCCCACCCGACCGACTGGTTCTCTCTCCAGTCTGTTTCATGCCGACTGGCCCATTTCCAGTCTCCTGCAGTCTGTGCACACCGGTAACATCGTTCCCCTTTCCTTCCCTCTTCTCCATTGAGGGCAATGTCAATCTTAAGTGTGGGGGGGATGTTTATCTTTTGACTGCATTAGCTCTGTTTGTGTGCTTGGAGCCTAGTCCACTGTCCAAATTTTTAAATTTGAGCGCTCCAAGTACGTGTTCCTTGCAATTGCCTGCTCAGTATGCTTTGAATTGACAGTCTCTGTAGTGATTTGCAACCTAGGGAGGTAGTGTAGCACTATGGAGGATGTTGATGCATTTAAGAAGTCTCATTTCTTCTTCATATTGTGTTGGTTGATTGAGTGAATTAGTGATCTTAGGACCCTTGAATTGTGTGGTGTTGTGGACTCTCTGCCTGTCATGGACTCTTATATCATGTTTTGAAGGTAACAGGTGCTCGAAATGTGCTTTAAAATAACGTCTCCCGTGCGAATAGGGCGAAAGGGTGTAAGGGGAGACGGGAATCCGTTCCCAATTTCCACCTACTACCTCCAGCCCCCTTACACGTCTTTCCCCCGCACGAGGCTCGAGACACCCGCTCCTGGCATGGACGGTAAGAGCCGGGCTCCCGCAAAACCTGTGCTAGGTGGGAGCCCCCGTTTTCTGCAGAATCAGGTTGGAACCCGTGAAAAAAGAAAACAAAGAAAAACAGAAAAACAAGCAAAAAGAAGAAAGAAAAGGGTTCCAACCATCTTCAAAAAGAAAATCGAGCACCTTGAATTAATGTGAGTCCATGATCTTTTATTTTTGAGAGTCTCTTCATCCACGATTCATTTGTCCTCTGTTCACTATTTGCCATGATGCCGACTCGAGACTAGTGCTCTCGCCGAAGAAGCTATGAGATGACTTGTGCGTCGGTTGACCTCGTAAGTTGCTAAATGATCTAGGAAGTCCTCTACCTACGATCGAGGTTGTTTGTCGCTATAGAGATCTAGAGAGCTGCATTGGTTTGAGTTAGGTTTGCTTGGGGACAAGCAAACGGTTAAGTGTGGGGGAGTTTGATAGCCGATAATTATACATGTTTTCACCCCTATTCTGAAGCCGTTTGTGATGAGGAATCTCGTGTTTTAAGCCGATTTCATGCTAGGTTGTGTGTTTATGTCATATTTCAGGACCCGGCGTTGGAATCGAGGCGGAGAAACGAGTTCTGGGTCGAAAGGAGCGAAGTTGGGACGAATGAGGCTGTTGGACCAAAATACCCAACCAAAGGAAGGAATACCCGACCGGGTATTTTCTGGCCTTGACCGGGTATTTTTCTCTTCGGGCGTCCGTGAGAAACAGAAGGGGGCCTGGGCAAATGCCTTAAATCCCCGGTCGGGGATTATGAGGACAGACCGGGGATTTTCCCCTTAAATGAAATGGTGAGTTTTGCAAATACCCGGTCGAAACCCAAAATACCCAACCGGGTATTTCGACCGGGTATCGCGACCAGGCAGCTGATAAAAGGAAGAAGAAGGCCAACATTGAAGGGTTCTGAGTTTTTGAGAGAGAAATCGATTCCTAGAGAGAGAAAGCGACGAACCAAAGTTCCCAAGTGCCATAGCTTGATCTTCATCACCATTGGAGCCCAGATTGAGCTTGGAGAAGTGCCGATTAAACGTCCAGGAGCAGAAATCCAACTTCACAGTATGATTTTCGCGTCTGAATCTGCTTTTGCTTCTTTCTCTATGGAGTAGTTCCCC